AAATATAATATTGAGATTAGGCATTAAACTTGATTTTAAAAATAAGACGGATAAGCTTTTTAGTATTTAATACCTGCCTAAACTAATGATCTAATATGCTATACAACATATTTCAGAATTCAGATTTCTTTAACAATATTTCCATTAGTTTAAGGCAAGCGCAGAAAGAGAAATCTCTATAGCAATTGAGATTGATTAAGAAAAACTAAAATTATGTTGGAATGTTAAGGATCGAAAACAAGACTAGATGCAGTTGGCTTTTGGTCCTAAACTAAACTAGAAATTCTAAGAATTGTTAGCTAAGAATTGTTAGCTACACACATATGTGACTCTTAGACTCAGAGATACATTGTTACAGTTTCAACATATGCAATCTATAGTAAAAAGTTCAACTGAAAAGTGAGCAACGAAAACTAAATGTCAATTGAATACATTTCAGAGCAACAGTTCCGCAAGAATTTTCACAATTTCACGCGTGGAACGATTGATGCATCGATCGGTTGCACTTAAAACAAAATAAACGCGTTTGCCAAGCAACAAAGAAACAATTAGCGGGGACACGAGAATTAGTTGGACATGCAACGGAGATAGGGATAGTAAGAGCGAGAGAGAGTGAGAGAGAGAGAAAAGAAAATATGAGTTACAGATGGGTTTATTTGTTGAAGCCTTGAACTGCCGCTAAATTTTAGTGTAACTCTATTTTTGGTGTTATCTTTTGTACTTTTGCCGCAACCCAAAGGCAAACAGCCAACCAAAACAAACAAATAAACAAGCAAACAAACAGACTGACAGACAGACAGGCAAACAGACAAACAGAAAAGGGCCACTCGAACCAGCCGAAGATCATTTGCAGTGCAACAGTTTCTCACACTGATGAATGGAGCTGTTGGAGTCGGACTTAGGTTTGGGGCGCAGTGCAGTAAACGCTCACCGGGCGTCCGCTGCAATTGCTGCCAATTAGAATTAATGCGTTTTTTATAGAAACAGCTCGAATTTCCAGACACTGTCAACAACGGGAACAGCTCAGCACCCACAGCATGGCGATCGAAAGCTCTGGCCCCTTTTCACAAATTTGCTAAATCCCCGTCGACAACAATTTCCGTGCACTAAATCATCATATTGACGTGTCGACATCATCATCATCATCATTATCATTGTGAGTCTCAGAGTCTCCAGCGGCGCAGCAGTCGTCGCCTCCAACTGGCCCAAGTCAATTGCCAATTTGTGGTCGCCAAGAAGCCTCGACGTAAGATAATGGTAGCGAGGTACCTCTTACGTACAATGGAAAACAAAATGCAAACTCTGTGTACAGCTTAAATTCATTGAATACGCAGATATATCTAATAGCAATAGATACACGCAAGTAACGCTTCAAGCACAGCTAAATTTCTTTAAAAATTAATATTTTCTGAATTGCAAAAGGGATCTAACTACAAATATTGGCGGTTATAGGTATACCATTAAGCTAAGTATAGCTTTTACTGATTTATCATTCTTCCAGTAGACAGGGTTCTATAATTTTTAGTAAATCTTATAATGTGCTTACAGTGAATTACCTGTTCACTTCTGGGACTTTTTCCGGTCCACTAAATGAATTTAAGTGAATTTCTGATTGCTTGAGCAATGCTCTAGACAATGAATCACAAAGCTCAAGAGAGTTTGAATGACGTTAATTGGCATAAAAAGTTTAGATTTGTTTGATTCAGAGAGAGGTAAAGTGCCCCAGTTGCAGTCAGCTCAGAGCTTTTAATTATGGTTTCTATGTTCTGCAAATATCATTTATAACAATTATTCAAAATAAACGCGCAAAAAAATATTATTTTAAAGATTTAGGTGATTTCATAATATATAAAAATGACTATGTTAGCTCGCAAATATTCTATTTACCATATTTAAAATAAGAAGAACAAAAATAGTTTTGTGGTTAATCATATTTTAATAACAATTTGATGAGTTAAGCAATGTTATCCCAATTACAAAAAACAGTCAAATGTATATATATATGATTTTCTACTAAATTTCATTTGGTTATGTTCCTATTCATCTGCTTTTTTCCTCAATGTTTTCAATGGATTTCTTCTTGTAACTTATCCAAATTTAGTTATTATTGATCAAAGGTCTCTGTGGCTCGATCAATCAAGGATGCTTCATAAAGATTCAATGTGTCATTTAACACGCTTCTGATATAAGTCGATTTGTCTTTGAGCACTTCGAGCTTTTTGTCTTCGCATTGCCTGAAAGTAGCTGCTGAATCAGCGACGCTTTGCCTGCTTATTTGTAAGTCGTCCAATATAATGGCATTTTGGGATGATAATACCGACAACTCAGCTTGACATTCCTCTAATTGTTGCCTGCTTCTCCTTTCAAAAGGTGCATACCTGATGTTTCTCTCAACAGCGGAAAACGCGCTCTGCAAGTAATTTGTTTCACTTGCTACTGTGGCTGCTTTAGTTGCTCTGCCCGGCAATGGAGTATAGCAGACTGTGAGGTTCGTCAGGTTTGGCACGTCATTAAGTCCCTTGACAGTTACATCATTTTTAGCCAGAGCTACTGTCAAGGCGTTTATTATAAGGTTTTTCAATGCGATTTGCTTACTAAGTTTATCAGATTCTTGCTGAAACAATCCAATAATTTCTCTTCTGCAGCGAAGACAATTAAAATTCGGTAGTAATACGAATTTCTAAGAAACATTCGATTTAATATTTTGCGTCCAATTTCAATTTGTCTAATCAACTCACCTGCATAGGGGAAGCATTCAAATAGTTTGCCAAAATTACAGGTGAGACTGCAATTAAAATTGCAAACACTTTCAGATTTATCATGTTATATATCCCTTATAGCTTCTTTCACCCTTCAGATCACAGCGCAGAATTAAACTTGGCTGCATTGCTAACGTCTTTATATATCAATCGAGTCAAGCAAAAAATTACGCTTAGCTGTTTCGAATGCGATTTTGGAGCTAATCTAATTGAAAACCAGACTAGTATTTATATATTCCAATGTATATTATTATATACTCTCATATGTCACCTCATTTCTTCGGGTAGATCATCGTCGTAGCAAATTGCAATTTACTAAAAACGGTAATGATGAGATTACTGAAGAGAGAATATATAATATACAATATATAATATATAATATATAATATATAATATATAATATATAATATATAATATATAATATATAATGTATAATATATAATAAGTTAGAGTTGATTGACGTTACACGCAGCTGATTCTCTAGATTGACCAAACATTGCACATATCAACGCCTGCTGGTTGCGGGTCAGGCTGCTCTCTATTGCACTATTTAGTCAGTCCCGATTTGTAACTCATAATTGGGTCTCTATCTTTAAGGCGGCGGAAGATACAGTTTCACCCTAGTTGCCACGTCTCTAATGGACGTAGATATGTCCTCTATATATCTGGACGAACTGGACGGGCACAAAGCACAACGCCAAGAAAATCTATTTTCTTTCACTTTGCGAGCAAGTATAAAAATTTGTTTGAGAGCCTATTGAGCTGTTGTACCCTGTTATTGTTTTCAAATTTATCTTATAATTTTTTTTTATTCTCTATTTATATTTTAAACATATTTATATCTGATTCTCAAAATGTTGATTTAATTTATAATTATTTCTGCTGACTTTGCCCATTGTAGAAGCATTCAATCGATGCTGCCCAAGCTCTGCTCGTACACAGCTCGTACACAGCAGCTGGTTAGGCTTCCTGCTGTTGCGCCCACAACAACAATAAAATAATCAGCAGCAGCATCAGCTGGGTGCATATTACTGACATTTACAATTGCAAGCATAATAAAAGTGGTCGGGTCTAAATTGTCAGCTGGTTTGGGGTCTGACGTGTTGTTGTTTGTACTATAAAACATCGGGACATAATTATGGCTTTGAATTAGCTGCCATAAATGACACACCCGCAAAAACCTCACCCTCTCTAGCTCTCTAACTCGCTCGCTCTTTCGTTGCCATTGAAATTAATTAATTAAATTATGAACTAGTTAGAGGAGCGTACGTCATGTCAGTCAAAGTGCATTCAAAATGCAACAAAAGCTGCATAGAAATTACTGCTGTCACCAAGCCCTTCACAATCACACACATACATACACATACAGGCTAACTCAGTTGGCATTGAGCACCAGTTATTGGCTTCGCTCGCTTTTGTTTTGCATTTGCACAAAATGGGTCAAACCCCAAAAACAATCAAGAGACGCAACGTTCGTCCGTAACTCTGCCCGTCTGTCCACTCGTCGCCATAAGCTTGGGCACTAATTAAGTGGGCGTGGCCGCGCCTGGTTGACACTGCATATACGTGTGTGTGCGTGGAGTGTCGCGGTTTTCCATTATGGCCTGCCCTATGCATCCCAACGTCAGTTTTTGCGCAGGCACAGCCCGACAGGCTTTTGATTGAACGCCGCAACACGTCAGCTGGCTGTCAAGTATACGCACTGTGGCCATGCCACTCTCACGCTTTATTGGCAGCGCCTACCCGCCCCGCCCGTCGACCTCGCATATAATTACACCATCAGCCACTGGCACCCACTTTCACCCACTAAACATTTATGCCGTGCGAATTTATAGAGCTTGCTCCGAAATATCCTTCAGAGCACAATTGATCCACCAGCTATTGTTATGCTAAAAGCGGATCCGAAGCTTGCCAAAGAGAGTTGTGCCAACGTCTTGCGAAGCTCTAAGCAAAATAAAATGCCTTCCATCTATATAAAAAATCAACAACAATAGAGTCTCACGTATGTCTCGAGCTTTGTAGTTTCTGCTGAGACTTGCTTCAATTACACTTGAGCTTGGATCTATAATGTTTTGGTTTTCAAAAACTCTAAGAGCAACCCACTGGGGAAGGCGTTGACCCAGTGGACAGTCAAATGGATGAGCAGTCAGCGGGGCAGCCACGCACACATATGTCATTCAACAAAGGAGACAAAACCTCCAGCCATTACGCCCACTCCACGTCGATTCTGCTGTTCTATGATATATACAACTATTGTTATTGTTGTTGTTGTTGTGTGTGTTTTTTAATGCCTTGTCCCAGATTGTTTATTATCAACTGGGAGCGATAAAAGTGTCCTGGCCTTATTGTATGTCATTTATATTTGGCCATAGTTGTACCTTTATTGTCGTTGTTGTTGCTTCTATTGTGAGGAGATTTCTTGCTGGCTGCTTGTCAACACAAAATGGACATGTATCAATTAATCTTTTGCCGGGCACTGGGAGCCAACAGTTGTGCCTTATCCTGATCCACATACCACATCGCATATCCCATATCAAAATTCAATGTGCATACCACAAGACGCACGCTTCGCCATGGCAATTTGTTTGATGGCGCTGCGTGTGCCCTCCTCCTCCTCCTCCTCCTCCTTCTGCAGCTACGCGACCTCCTGCTCCTGCCAGCAGATGGGCTGCCATTAAAGGTCATGAACATAAATAACGTGCAAGTCAGTCGATGGGGCATAAATTCCCAGACACCTCAACAAATTTCACATGCCACAAGTGCTACAAAAATAATTATTTAATGCTCGTACTCCTTGTCTTCAAACTCTGCTACTTACGTGTGATAACTCATCAAAGTTTAATGCTCAAGAAATATCAAAAATACAAAAACAAAGCAGAAACAGTTAACAAAATGCGTCTCGTGTTCGAGTTTGTGTCCTTGTCTGGCCTTTAATGCCCCCTTTTCCTCTCCGTGCGTACATATTGTACAATATTTGGTATTTGGTATGTGGTATTTGGTTCGAGCCCCGTTGACACGTACTTGGTTAAAAGGAAAACGACGAGCATATTGATTAGCTGCGTGCCCGCCTTTGATACGCATGTAAACAGACTCACAGATGACTGATAACATGCTTTTAGCTCTCAAAGCACTTGGCCAGCAGCAGTTGCTTTTTTATGTATTATTCTTCTATTCTTGTTTTTTTTTTTTGGTTATGCTGGCTTGCACACACATATTGAACAAGAGTATGAACAAGAACACAATGTTGTAACAGCTAGAAGAAACATTGTCTGTTGACTTAAATTTCTTACGAAATTTACAACTTTCTTTTTAACTTAATTTTTGTTATTTTTCTGTAATATGTAAAACAACTAGGGGCTCTCGATTCTATGAAATGCTTACATCTTCAAATTTGTTCTATATGTATTTTAATACTTAGCAACATTTAGTAAACGAATCTATCAAATGAGCAACGATTAGACAGGTGACTGCTGAGCTTAGGATAGAACTGAACCCGAGCTGTCGTTTTTCAACTTGGCAATGAGAGCAGGTGAAAATTTCGTGGTGTACTTTATCAGGTGAATCGACTTACCTAGCCATTCTGGGTTTTCAAAAGTTTATTATATACTCAATTTAAATTTAATTTTTAAGCAATATCATGGAACTCCTGAAAGCTATCGTTGATCGAAAAGAAACTTAATCTACAAGTGCCATCCATTAACTTACAAGCAAAGGATCTTCAGCTGGAGATGCATAGAGGCAATGGAAAGAAGGCAAACAGTATTAAATAAACTTGATTTTAAATCATAAATAAGACTTTTTCACATATTATTTGTGCATGCTTCTGACTGCCATCTCCTTGTGCTAATTTTCATATAAAACCCTTTTTTAGTTTAGTATGTACCACAATAAGTCGGCTCTAAAAATTCTAAGATTTAAATATTTAAAATACTTATTGCTAGACAGATTCCTCTTATAAAATTATTTTAAAATATTTCACACAACTTTCAAACTGCCTTAGCCTGCAAATTTTATACAATTTACTACTACAATAGACCATATACAACCCATATACATAGGCAGTTACATATACCTATATATGCATATAATTTCTATATCTGAAATTTATTCAGTTGTTGCACCTGTCCCTAGTGCTGAGTGACATATCCTACTTCTCAAATGGGTTCACACTTGATACGAACTGGCTGGCATAATAAATCCATCAAATGTTTCATATGCTTATCATAAAATAATACGTCATCCGTTGTCCATTGTACGTGCCCATTATTCGGGTACCCCTTTTCGAACACTCGGTTTCAGTTTCCACATAATTTGATGCTTATCAAGCCGCAATTATATCATTTTCACAGTGAAAAATTATGAAAAAGGAACGCTGGCATTTCTCTCATATCATTATAGATAATTTCTTCATTAGAAAACGAACGTTTGAGGGGAAAACATTGAGCAGAAACTGCTTTCGAGCTGTCAGAAATTGTGACAAGTCGCTATCGCAGTGCCTGCATCTAGGAAAATGAGTAAAACTATGACAGTTTTTCCAGCGAAAGAAGGAAAAATTGTTAACGTGTTTAAGGGATTTTTAATTGCAAAGCTAAAAACAACACGCGGCTTAGAGAAGTTTACAGTCAATGCGATTAGCAGCTGATGCGATTTTCATATTTTATGTTTGTTGACTCGCGCAGCTTACAAATCACCAAAAATTCCAGCGAAACTTTGCGCAAACAAGTGAGAGAAGGTGAGAGAGAGAGAGAGTAGTAAGCAGGGGAGAGCGAGAGAAGACAAAGAGACGAACCTGTTCTAATCGGATGCAGCTCGGTTGCACTTGAAAGGATTTGCTCAACGCCATGTCCCTGTGACAGACTGACAAAAGCCCATTAAAGGATAAGCGAACCGCTGCCAGGCAGGCGGACAGTCAGGCAGCTGCTCAAATCCGCTTGCCTCAATCCATAAAACGCATTCGCATCACGGTTTATATTCGTTGTGTTTGTCCAGACCGCAAATATGCTGAGCCCAGTTTTAAGTTGTTAGCAACGCAGTGTAATGCCATTACGGACTTGCCGTGACGAGACACCATTTTGCGTGGGCCGCGATTATCGATCAAAGCCACAAAAACTGTGCACAGGTAACGCATCCTACATCGAATAGATAAAGCCATAAAGCGAACCCCTGTCACAGGTAAAGTCTGTCCCAAATGCAACACTCACTCATCATTCGATACCCTGTATATATACAAAAGGCCATGCCGAATCTTATGATTCGTAATAAATATATTTTTTATCTAAATAAACTCAATTCAACTTCGATAAATATCGATTAGGCAATTATTATCGTTTATTCATTTTACATTTCGTAACAATTTCCAAGCCAAACACATTGAATATGAAATTTTAGTTACTTCAGACTGTTTACAGGGTATCTTCTCGTTAAGTACTCATATAGCATCGCATTGTCGCCGCTTCATCTTCAGTTTTCTATATTTTGACAAGTGCGTGTTATTATTGTACCTGTTGTACCTGTTGGACAATATTTCTGGCCACGACCCTTACCAAAATGAAGAGATTTTCACAAGTCTCATATAGACGCGCTTATGTCTTATATAATAATTGGGTTACGCAAACCCTTGAGCTAACCTCAATTAGCGTCTTTCTGGTTTACCGAAGCAATTTACGCTAGCCAAGCCAAGCTTCAAATGTTCTGTTCTTCAAGACATTCCTAGACTTTGCTTTGCATTCGCCATGCGCTCCAATTATTTTGTATTTGTGTTTCCCTCTAAGATACTCCCAGCTGCTGGGGCAATTGTTCATTTAATTTGTTAATTGCATTCGGTAAGTGTAACTAATGTCGTTCATTTGTGGTTTTAATGTTTGTGGTTTGAGAAATGCCTCCAAAAACTTTGCGTGGGTCAATGTCAAAGAAACTGCCGCAACCTGGCCAGCTGCTTACCTCCTGTCTCCCCCTCTATCTACCTCTCTCTCTCTCTTGGTCTCTTTATCTACACGCACCTGTTATATTCTTTCGGCTGTAATTGCCACGCTTTGTGGCACATAATCATTTAATTGTGCTAATCAAATTTTAGTGATATTTTGTTTGACTTTTGATTGCCGCATTTAGCGGCAGGCAACAACAAAATATAACAAAAGCGATCAAATATAGACGTTGGGCTCCTAATTATAATTTCCTATAGAAGAAAAGGGAAATACAATGAAAAATCTGTTCAGCAATTAGTGCTTGAATAAAGCTTTTGAAGTGCGTTTAATACTAGAAATAGCCAAAAGAAAATCAAATCATTTTTAAGCAACATTTTATAAAATATAAAAAAATAAATAAGAAGAAAATACAAAATATAAAAGAATATACATATATAAATTAAATTTGTGATGTCTTCACCGTAGTGTCATAGACTACATTCTATGTAATCCTACCAAGTCTTACAAGTCTCAAAAAGTCCAAGCTAATTAAGAGCTGTCTAGACTACGCTGCTGCAACATCAACTGACCTCATTACAAACATCTTTATGTAATATCTCCATGTGATATCTCTGTCTAGCTACACCAAATCTTTGACTTCAAGTTCAAAATTCAAAATTATATAATTAAGTTTAGTCACATTCTAAAGACACTCCGAGGTATAATTACCGCGAAGCAGTGCACGTGATTAAGACCCCAGCCGAAAGAGCACACGCAGCAACAAGAGAAATGCGACCGCACACAACAAGATTAAGGAGAAGAAGAAGCAGCTCAGCGAGCGCATTAAAGGAGAAAAGAATCTCAGTGAAATTCCCAGGAAAGCACAAAAATATCCAACAACAAAATCTCGCACAAACAAAGTAAAAGATAAAGTCATAAATAAAATTGGAAGTGTGACCGTGTTGTTGGTTAAACTGAAACCATAAACCCGAACCCCCGCTCAAAAAAAACACACACATTTATATATATATATATATCTGTGTATACGTATGTACTCAAGCAGTTTTGGCCCAATTCATTCGCATAGTGCAGCACGCATCCTTTTTTGAGTGAAATGGCCCGAAATGGCTTGAAATGGGTTTTAGAGCCAGGAAGCATTTGATTATTTTTACGGCTCTTTGGGGCGGCCGCACGCTCCCAATTACAGGAAATAATTCGGTCAAGCAGAGGACAAATACAATAAAAAACCAAAAGAAAATATATCCCACTGGCCGATAAGAGGCTGCAGATAAGGCGCGTAGCAAAGTGAAAAGATACCCAGCCTCATAGATAGCAATTGCGATAGTGAGTGAATGAGATGTGACCGCTTACCCCGGGCTCTGCGATGGGGTCACGTATGTCCGCTCTGAGAACTGCTCGACGGTTCGACGGCTCGACGGCTCGACTGCTCGGGATGCCCAAAAACGTCGACGGACGTCCAAGCGTGAATGTCACGTAGCGAACGTTGTGCAATGCGCCCCGTGTAAATAAATAAAGTAGAGTGCGAGTAGAAGTGAAAGAGATCGCTTTCTCTCTGTCTATCACTGTGCTGCTCCAAGGCTGGACATTCACACGGCCAAATATATATCAACGATAATTTATGTGCGTGTCGACGTGCGGGCTCCGGGCATCGGGCTCCCAGTCCCAGTCGCAGTCACAGTCCCAATTTCTACTCGGCATCCCAGTTCCTGCTACCTGACAGTAGCTTGTGTATGCTTTGTTAACAATTTAATGGCATAAACATTATGATTTCTGTTATTTCAATAAAAGACAGCGACATACGACAGCGAGACACAACATACGCCAGCAGCAGCAGCCATCCAACTATCATACGATGCACTGCAAAAAAAATTGATACATAAACTTAATGAAAATTTTAGAGAACTTTTATATACTAATGAGAAGACAATTAATTTTAATGTACTCTAAAAAAATAATATAAATATATAAATAAATAAATATATGAATAAATTCAGTGTAATAAAAGAGAAAAAGAATTCATAACTTAATTTCAATATATTGAAGTTTATTGAGTTTTCCAATCCCATTTAAATTTAGTTGAATTTGAGTGGGAAATTGTCGCAGTGTAGCTTGTCTTATCAGCCTGGTTTGTTGCCTCCTGCTCTTGGAACTGAGCGTGAGCGATGCGGCTCCAAGATAAACTCCATGCATTTGATGATGAACCACAGCAGCAGGCTGAAAGCCAGCGAGCCGTTGAAATATTTATACGAGTGCGAGTGTTGGACGCACTGCGAAAATTATTATGCGTAACACGTTCGGTTTGTTGGCTTTTTCGGTGACGCCGACAGCGACGTCGACTGCGACGCACAAGCCCCCAGCAGGCGGTCAAAAATGTTAACAAGCGCAATTTGAACGCCTCACGGGCCAACCATGAGGGACTAGCGGTGGGGTGAGGCACGGTATCATGCTGGAGGCCCACTGAGACAACAGATACCGGTCCATTGCAGCA